AAAATGAGGTGAATATATGGGATGGACGAGAGATTGAATGAAACCACCTCCAGCATTTCTTTACTCCTCGAACTACACATCCACAACTAATGCAAACCTAATGTGAATCTAAACAGCTTCTATTCAATGTTTTACGACTTGCTTGAATATACCAATCCCTAAACCCATGCAGGATTCTGAGAAGCCATTGAAGAAACTGACATTATCGTCCGCACCATTAAAAAAAATAAATAACGCATGAAGAAAAAAAACAGAAAGAAAGTCACCAGTCGTATGTTACAGAGTAAATAAAGACATAAATAAATGCATCACTAGAGACATAGGTAAACGAATTGCGGCGCTGATGCATATGTGCATAAACATTCCTGGTAAATCTACTTATTTAACGTTGAACTTTCACTTGATATTATTTCATAAATATTTTTAAATTTAAAACAACGCCCAGTCATACTTATGTATTACGTGTATACTTATAAATTAAGGATTTCTTCGGTTGACATGCTTGTGATGGATTTCACACGAGTACATACATGTAAATATGCAAGCATAGGCAACATTTGAGTGGATTTGTGAGGTGGACAGCGCCTTGCACGTATATAGTTGTAGGCTCCTGTCCGACGGACGACTCGAGATAAATTATCAACATGTAATCCAGGAGCAGACGAGCATTGCAATATTTCAGATTCAGGTATGGATGGATGCTTATCTGTGGCTGCTACTACCAACGACTGTGCAGGGCTCTGTGCAGGATGGATGGAAGTATTAGTGTGTAGGAAGTGAGTGGAAAGGAGGAAGGAGTTCAGCTCAACGCCATAAATTTTACATGACCCCAACGAGGCGGGCAGGTGGTATCGAGTATCTCTCCTCATCTCTGGGAATCAATATACTGTAATCCCAATCATATTTTCTATTCCCATCACACCTAATCTGGCAAATATGAGTTCACCTCTCGTTTACTTTCGCATTCCTACTCCACGCCAGCCCTGTGTTTCACTGTTAATGTGGATTCTTTTTATTGACCATGATAACTGGACATTGATAAACTGATCTCAACCCTTGAAATAAGCATTTTCAGTGTGCACGCATACCTCAACTGTGTTTACTCGCCTGCAATATCAGCAGCTAGACTACGCGATTATTTCATCATTTGGACCATGCATATGAAAATTGACTTTTAAATTCTGACGAGGGACGGACAAAATATATTTTATGATGGCCACGGGGTCTCGACACCATAATATTATGCACTTATATCCCGTTGTTAAAATAATAATACCCAACATTCCCTTATTTAAAAACTTAAAACTATTTAATATGATGATGCACAACCGGTGGTGCATGTGACAAAATTTTTGGTAAAAACAAAAATGCTAAAAATAAATATCTGTACAGCCCACGTTTCCAGCTCTGAAAACCTTGGAAGTCTTGACGTGACTTGTGGGTAGGTAGTGGGTGGAGTATGGGGGCTGGAAACTCAGAATCAAAAGTTGTCGAGAGATCCTTGAGGGCAAAATATTGATAGAGGAAAATGCCAATTTATATAATGGAATAAACATAGACTAAAAATCTCGACCTCTGTTGATTTCATTTCCATTCTCAATTCTTTGATTTTGTCAACCATGAACTGCTGGAGAGCAGTATTCAAACAAAAACACAACCCATTATCCACGAGCGATGATGCAAAGCAACAAAATAATACGTATTTTATTCTCCTATAAAAAAAGTCACTCGGGGCGAACGCCAACTTCATTTGTTTTGGAGTGAGTGAGCTTTCACTTTTGAGCTGTCGAGGATTTAGTTTGCGACTTTGAAGTTTGACAAACTGTTCAGTTTATGGCCTGCGAATTCATGTATGTACAAGGGTAAACAGTAGATGTTGGCTGATTCCCTTGACTTGGGCCAGATTCTGTCATCGTCTCACTCAACAGGTTGTTAATACTGAAGATTATCATGGTCAGTCCTGCGATACATATGTTCGTAACGAGGAATTGGTGTTCCAATTAGGTGAATATAAGCAAATACCTAATACAGTATAACGAACAAATTTTCAAAATTACATACGAATTTACATTTGTGTATCTGTGATGATTTAGTCCCAAATGTAAAATCGTCAGTCCTAATCAAGGACATCATCTTCCTTCGCGTAGACTTAAATCCAATTGCAAATTTTGTGAGTTGTAAAGAAGTGAAGCATACACGAGGCCAGGAGGAGAGAAAGTCAGCTTAGTTTAAACGAGCTGACATTGCCGTTGACAATTCCATGGGTGATCAAATAAAGCAGTTGGAACCGCCTAACCAGCAATAAGTGTACGTACTCACGAGAAAAGTTGGATTTAGGGCCAATATTTTATATTCCTAGACAGAGTTGTAACTTGTAACTGCTCTTATCCGAGTTTGTGACAGTTTCTACTTTCACATTGTTCACAACTGGCAACTAACTTGTCCAACCAACTTTCTCTCTTGGTTATAAATGGGACCACATAAAATGGGGTTGGATCTATGAATGGTGATCATATAAACCGGGTTCTTCTGGTTCCGTAATCTGTTTTCTGAGCAAAAGTCTACTTCACCTGTTCGGCGCCACTTTCACTATATTGCTCTTCACTGATTACCTCCTTCCCAAACCGGGACAGTTTCATGTCCCATGTTTTCTCCGTAATGCTGATAACATGAGTAAATACAAGAGTTTATTGGATTAGAGTGGCCACAGGTTGTGGCGGCAGTTATCAGTGCCAGAGTTGAAATGGTTGGAAAAAGTGTAATTTGTCCAAAAGAGTGGAATGATATGTGTACACCACACGAGAATGATTATATCCAGAAATTTAACGACATTGTAACTATAAAACTACGACCACTTTCCATTTCCAAACGTAATTGAACATAATAACGAGTTCAGCTTAAAGGTTAGTCATAAATCCTTCATAATGTGGGGTAAGCTTTCTCCGACACACACTCACAAACATATATTTGTTCGTACATATGTATGTATGTGCAAGGCCTGAGTACTGAATATATTGCTCCTGCTCCGCACTCTGCTAGAGTCTTATTGAGTACGACTACTGACTGACTGATGACACTTGGAGAATTACTCTTATTTTATGTTGCCTCCACTGTATTTACATGGACATTAATACCTCGTCTTCTCCGAACAACAGGGAAATTACAATAACGAAATGCATTAAAATGTCGTTTGCTTCATAAACTTTATTGTTTCGGTTGGAAATTAAGCTTACCTTCAGTTGTTCTCCAGTTAGCTTCTTTGCTACGATGGGTTTTAGCATGCGATTTGATAGGCGGCCAAGTCGGTGAGTGATTCAAAGAGTTTTGCACTTTGTATTTTGTCACCTCTCGTCTCAAATCAGAGTTCAGAAGCAAGAGGAGCAATAGTTTTTTTTCTCGGTATACGACACAATAATGTTTGATGATACACGATCAGCCAAAAAAGGAATTCGGAGAAAATTTAAAATTATTCAAGTCCCAAGTTTCATCATTCGTGCACAATACATGATTAATTTTATTGTTTTATCAAAGCTCGCAAGTTTTTGATTTCAGAAATGAAAGCCAACAATGGAGCAGACAACATAGGAAAACGGTAAGTATTTAGGAAGTGAGTCCCTACAATAGGTCAGGATGGACTTTCTCCTGGCTGTATACTCAAACACAATGTGCGATTTTCTGACACACAAGTTCAATATTCCACCTCGAGTCAAACGGATTTCAATACCCTGCCTGCCTCCAAATAATGAAGAAACTTGAGCTCATTATATTTCACCAAAGATTTACTTAGGAGGGGAGGTTGTGTACTATCAACTCCCGGATCTCGATGCCCTTTGGATATTTTGTAGTGTCCCATGAATGTACAACAACCCTAAAGTGGTTTGATTCCATGGCCACATTTGCGCCCGCCACACCCACTCAAAGGTGCCCAAAAATCGCTTTCACTCCAGCTTTCACTCATTCAAAACCACGCCAAAAATCCAATTTTACTCCGATTTTGAAATTTCTTTCACCATTATACTCCCAGATAGTTGCTTTCTTATTTCCAACATCAAATTCAACTTTTTTGATGATTACTTCGCAGGCATAATTTGTTTTGTTGATTACTACAACAATGCTCATTCAGAATTTTAAATTTTAAAATTACTAAGAATTTCAAAAAGTTGAGTTTGATGTTGGAAATAAGAAAGCAACTATCTGGGAGTATAATGGTGAAAGAAATTTCAAAATCGGAGTAAAATTGGATTTTTGGCGTGGTTTTGAATGAGTGAAAGCTGGAGTGAAAGCGATTTTTGGGCACCTTTGAGTGGGTGTGGCGGGCGCAAATGTGGCCATGGAATCAAACCACTTTAGGGTTGTTGTACATTCATGGGACACTATAAAATATCCAAAGGGCATCGAGATCCGGGAGTTGATAGTACACAACCTCCCCTCCTTAGTTCCTCTTGTTGAATTTATTTTCAATATGCTGTTGAACAATGAAAATGAAAATACAAGATTTTCGTTGTCTTGAGTTTGCTCTCTCTTTGTGCTGTGTTTAGTCACTGTCGGAGTGCACATACGTATCTTTTCATGCAGACGAGACCTAGCAGAAAGAGCGGTGGACGAAAAGAGAGGACAAGAACAAGGGACAAGTTCTCGTTAAGCTGTGAGCCTGTTGGACTCGTGTTAACCTAACCTAAACCCTTTTTCTCTCTGTCTTCGTCGTCTTACAATTCTTGTTTTGTTCACTATTGTCGTCCTCCCCCACTTGGAAACTGTTGTTGTTGTTTGTTGGACCTCTGCTGGTTCCTAGCGTGCTGGTCTTAAAGGGGAGCAATGGGATGAGTGAATAAATGTTGCAATATGTCAACGAGGACAGGAAGTACTGAGGCGAACATAATCTACTCGTAGACAAGTGGTTGGTCAAAGTGAAAGTATGCTGGATTCAGAAGATTGAAGATTCGTAGTTTACGTTAGTTTAGTCTATAGTTGAGTAAAATTGCTTAATTTCTCAAACTTACGTTCAAGTCGATTTTGTCAAGTGGATAATAATGCAGAATGGCACTTCTTATCACATGACACTGGCTGACTCCGATTGTGACTCTGGCCTCCGAGCTGGAAAGTTGTGGTCAGGAAGAGGAGAAATGGAGGGAGGAGGATTCAGCACAACAATATCAAATCAACAACAAAGAGTTGATGCTCAACAAAGAATAAAACTATTCGTCTAATGGTTACTTGGTGGATTGGAATTGGGAACGGCCGCAAATGGAAGTACGTACATTGGAGACACGCAAAACTCTTGTTTGTTACTTTACTTTACAACGTCTTGTGGTTTATACAGATAAATTTTCAGTGTTCCACACGCCGAGTTCATGTTCACTAATAGGCACCCTTTCACCTATTGCTTGAATCCGACGACTTCAGCCAGCGCAAATAGAGATAAGCAGTGGTCTGGTGAGTGATTGCTCCTGCTTTGATCGCCTCGTATAGGCGAAAGTAACGAGTAAGTAGTAAGCACAGAAGGAGGGAGAGAAAATGACGCTGTTATTATTATTATGTTGGATTCAGTTTGATGGTTCGTTTGGTCTTGGTCCACTCCTACACTTATTGCATTATTATTACGGACTCTTCTGACTGAGAATCACCAAGCAATCAAATGAAAAGCAGGGTTATCAAAATATTTCTACTTGGGTGACTCTCCTTCACTTGAGTCACCCGACCAACCCTTGGAAATATTCATCACTTCATACGTACATAGGTATGCATTAGCATGTATGAACATACATACGTACGTAGGTACCTATATTTTATAGTACTTTGTCCGGAACGCCCTCGCAAAACAATTCATGAACTATTGTAGCGCAATTTGATGTAACTAAAAACTCCATAAAAATTGTCAAGTGCTCGATCAATTGTTCCGAGTTGATGGGTTTGCGATATTATTAGGAACAAAGTTGTTGGAGGAGGAGACACTTTAAAAAAGTTTGTTGATGTAAGCTCATTTCACTCAGGAGTGTTCGTGGAGGGAAGGAATATGTAGAAAGCTGTGTTGGTGCAGAGAGCAGAAAGTCGACGACGAGTTTTCACAATGATTCCTCTTCTACTTCTTCGTCTTCCGTTAACTTTCATCCGCCTCCAACTCGGCTTTGCTCAAGTAGTGCTCGCCCATTCTCAAATATGCATGTAACTCAACAAAGCTGTCAGTCTATATATTTATGCTCCTTTTTTGGTCTGGTTTGGTTCAAGTATTTCTCAGTTGATCGATCACTTTTTTATGTGAGTATTTTTTACAAAGTACTTGTTTATCAGTGAGTATTGAATATTATTAGACAAATATTTGTTCTGTTTTCTGTTTGTCAAATGTAAAAAGCTTTCTCTTGTTTGCGACGAGTTAGAAAAATACAGAGTTCATACTCTTCCACAAGTTTGCATGTCCTGCGACTAATGGAAATGAGAACAGAACAGTGAATAAAACTTTAAAAGTACAAATTGTAAGTTATGAATTTGTGAATTATTAAGGATTAGCTTTTGCGGAAAAAATCTGGAAGTTTTGTGCCCTCTCGGTAAATAAATCCTATAAAATAATGAGATGGATCTCTTTCCTCACGATGATTACTCGAGAAAAGAAGCAAAAAAACTTTGGATTAGATCAGTCACAGAGTTGTTAAAAGTCGAAGTTGACATGATTTCCATCCCCAAAGTCGGTTCGTACACATATATTGGTTTCCTTATTTACTTTTTATCTGATAAAGGACGAAATATTATTAGTATTAGTAACAACACGTTGAGACTCCTGTCACGCAGTGGTGTTCAGTGAAGAAAATTGCTCAACACACCAGGACTAACCCGTTTCCTCACGTTGTTGGTCTGGAGGAAAGCTGGGTAGAAAACTACGCGACTTGCTGCACGAAATGTGGAAGTGTGTGCTCACGGAGAGAAAGTTGCCGAGTTACTGCTACTCCTGGCTGAGGAGGAGACCAGGGCAAGGTGAGCAATTGGTCGAACCTTCTCCACTTCTGCTCCTGCTGCTTCTCGGCTTAGAACCACATTTTGTACAATAAATGCACGAATCAGACTTGCCCATGATTGACTGTTCCCAACAACGCTGAGGTCCAAACTGAAGCCTTCTTTTCTCACGGCACTGCTTGACCATACATTTGGACAACCTCCTCCTTCTCTCTCCCTTTTCAGTTGTATGTACATTTGTTCATGTCCATATGGCTCAACTGGATGGGATGATTATCTTTGAACGTGAATAAAGAATCATTCAAGGTTGATTATCTTGTATGAATTCTCCTTTATCCATCATGGTTGAATAGGACTGCAAAAATTATTACATCAGAAAGCTTGCAAGATCTAAGAGGAGAAACAAAAAATCCTTTTCTTTCGACCGAAATTATCCAGATCGACTGTGTTAGCTCTGGGAAGATCTTATATAAGGACGAGGTTAGGAGAAAATGAGAATGGGCAAGTCAACGAAAGGACGAGCACTAGAGGGAAAAGTGCCATATACAAATGTATAGCTCACAAAATGCCGGCTGGTTTAGTTGATGAAAGGGAAAAAAAGTCTGCCTGAGGACGTCTCTGACCCACCGCCATGTACGCATCCTGGATGACAAGGAACTTTTCACTTTTTCTATGAGACTCTGGCTAGGTGTAAATTTCGTCGTTCTCGCTCAAACTCTGCTCTTGTCACGAGAGAGAACGGACGACAGACAAACAACAATTTCATCCTCATCCTCCCTTGACTCGAAAACGGTGGTAGTACATTTTTGTAACCTGGAAATTATATTTGACTTTGACTCAAAAGACGAAATAAAGTTGGGTGAAAGCACTGCAAAATTGTATGTAAAGTATTAGAGAATTGGGGCTGACGGGAGATGTGTGACTTGCGAGTGACTTTATCTCTATTTGTTTGGGCAACTAACTCGCTGTCTCCAGGTTGTAATCCTTTAGTCCTCACTCCTTCAGAGTCATGAGTCCCTAGCTCCTTGAATTTTTACCATGTTTTCTATTCCCGTGTAGGGACGTTGCACCTGCCAAATCTTCAACTCCCCTTCATATTTCCTCCGCTTATTTCCAGCCCTTATAGCCCAACAACAATTCATTTTCATAATGTCCTCCAGGTTGAATAACTCATTGGCGAGTAGGCACACTTGAAATTGTTTCAAGTAGAAGAATATTTCGACAGGAATTATAACAGAAAGAATGTTTTTTGAAAGGCGGAAATAGAAGAGAAAGCATTGTTATTACTGTGCTGCTTAAGATTAGGATAAAGGGAAGGCGTTCATACATAAGTGCATATGTACGCAAATCGGCGAGAAGGGCAACAACGACGGCAACTATATTGTTTAATATTTCATGTTGCTTTAAGCATTCGTGATACAATTGAGTGCGCCAAGAAATTCTGAAAACTCTTACCATGCCTGATGTTATAAGGTTCAAATATAGATAGCAGCGAGGAAATGGCAATTAAGGCACAATTGATTTCCACAATGCTATGTGTCATGAAGGCGACGACGACGAGCCCTGTATTGAAATTTAATCTATACTGTGAGCATCTCAACCTACATAAATTTGGCTTGATTGCATTATTTCTTCTATTGCTTTATGATTTCAACTAAGGAATATTAAATACGTTAAGGAATATTCTGAGAAGGAAGCCTACGTAAAAAGAAACGTAATCAAATCGCTCCATCTGTACTCATATCACTCGAAACTGAAATATTTAATTTGATCAATAATGATGCTCATGGACTTGAAAGAAATGAAAGTTTTATATGTAAAACTAATGACTAAAAATTCACAACCTGAGAAAAGTACTGCACAAACCATCAAACTTTTTGTCCCACCTTTTCATATATTTATTTTGTTACGGAACTTCAACTACTCTTCTGATGAAGACAGTGAAATACTTCATAGGCCGAGTTTTTTTTCGATATACATACGGTGCTCAAGTGAAACTGAAATGGCCTTGGATGATGCTAACATGGGTTTGAGGGGAAAAGGCCCACCTACATGAGAGGGATGTGAAAAGGCAAGCAAAATCTCACGGCTGGCAAATACGATATGGCAACGGGATAACATTTTCTGAAAGTCAAGTCAACACGCTTTTGACTTATTGTATGATGTGGAGAGATGGGGAAAAAGTGAAATTATACAAAGTTAATAATAAGGTTCTGCCTCTCTGCCTGCTGACTCCAACTGTGACTTGAGAGAACTTTTTGTCAATTCAATATCTATTCTTTGGGCGACGACTGTGGAGAGCGAGGATAGTGCCATCAGAAGATTTCATTACCCATACAATATGAGAAAGAGCCCTCTTTCACCAAGATGGAGACATTTCCCACTCTCAACTACTACAAGCAGACGAGGAAGTGAAAGCCAACTCGACCAAAGTGTGTATTCATACTCAGCCCAGTGCTTGACTCACATGGCTCAGATTTCTCCTCTCTTTTATACACACAGATTTCACATCATCTCATGGATGGATGGATGGTGATGTTGAGGGTTGATGTTTAACGTTTTGATGATGCTCCGTTGATGGTACTGATGTGGTTGGCTGCGACTCCAATCCTTGACTTCAAAATCTCTATCTGCTTATACTTAAAATATAGACGTTGAGGGGGGGGGAGGTCTCAGTTGGTGCGGAGTTCTTATCAATCTGCCTGTCAAATTCAACTACCTGGTTTCTTTGCTTTCACCCTCTATCCTGTGCTATGCTATGCTGTAGATACCACTAGCATCACCCAGTCACCGTCATTATCATATTCGCAGAGAGGGCAACGAGTGGTGGTGTTGCCGGATGGAAGCAATGTGAGAGTGGAAAATATTTGAATCTCGGTAATTGGCTGAAACAAGATGCTGTCAACCATCCATCCAACCTAACATGTAAATATGTCCCATATATGCACCTCTTCCTCTGTTTGACGGGGGTTTCATGTTCATCTGACAAAATATTATACTCGTGTATCCGACTTACGCTATAGATTCTACGACCGAGATTGCATGTTCAATAGAGCTCACATTTCATGTGCAGTTCGTCAACTTCAAATGCCTTAAAGTTAACGAGAAATATGTATGTAGCAGCTACGGATACTCATAAACCTTAAAAAACAAGCTTATACATTTGTACGTATTTTGTGTAATTATTACATGAGATATAGCTACAAATGCATCCTTCCTGAACCTATGGCATATTGCATATACACTGAACATGAGTGAGTATATTGTATGTATGTATCTTACATAGATATTACATACAAACATATGTACTTGTTACATACTACAGATATATGTAATGTCAATGCAGCATGTCAAGCATTTCAAGCACTAACATGCTAGTCGAATTTTTCTTCGACAGTAATTTTCATCATACTTCGTAAGTCTATTAATTTTCTCAAGATTTACTTTCTTTGTGCCAATCAGGAACTTTATTAAAATTTTGCTTTCTATTCAATAACATTCGAAATTACACTGAAGCCTACCTTGCCCAGCGAATTTGATTTTGCAATCAAGGAGCCTGCATCTTGCTTCAAAGACTTATGGTGAAGGTAGATGGGTGTATACATAGAAGATATGTAATTGGGACCTATGTACTTGCTTCTCAATGATTTTCATATCACATAATATTGGCCCATTACGTTTCCTCCCGAATCTTTTCAATTCAGCAAAGCGAATAAATTGGAAAGGGATTTTTCCTAATAATATGGAAGAAACCACATCAGTCTAATCAAAGGAAAATAAACGAAGGTCTTTGAGCAAAAGTAATGTGGATGTCGGTGGCGGGGAGAACATCATGCGAAACTAGGAAGAAAGACGTTCGATGCTCAGAAAACTTATCTCGTTTCCTTCTGATGATATCCCCCAGCCTTTTCCACCTCGATCACACTTGGCTTACTTTTAGTAACTGATTGATTTGGACAGGATGTTGTTGTGCTCAAAAAAGAGCTTCGTCCAGAGAGCAAAGTAGGACACAGTTCAGTTCACTTCTTTCATGTAACTAGGAACCTGTTGATCCTTCTTTGAAAAGCGTGCGCTGCGCTTACAAGCAACTCCTTTGACAAAGGAAACTTTTTTCTAATGAACCAAACCATTATTCATTCTAATCCCTTCCTAATAACAAATATACCATGTCACTCCAACGAATAATAATTCAAAAGTCTCCTTATAATTAGTCGTCATACTACGCATTTCTGAGTCAAAATTTCTGACTATCTGCATATGTACCTGTGTAGTACATTTACATTAATGGCTAAACATGAATGATATTTCAAAAGTTATTTCGCCATAAATGATACAGATTGATATGCAATAAACAGAGATACTTCTTATAACTTTTTCTTTACAGATTTCTTGCAATAGATCAATTTCGTAATACCGTAACGTATAGAGTTCGGATCTTAATCTGCATGTTCATGGTTATGATAAGTAATAGGCAATAAAAGTTTGGATGAAAAGTGGTCGTAAACATGTTAAGCCGAATTTAATTAGAAATAATAAAATGGCTTTTTCGCCATGAAATCAATATTTCAAGTCTACAAATATTTATACTTGAAACTATGTACATTGATTGGACTTATTCCGCAACTCATTAAAACTTTGTAAGATTATAAGATTTTCAGATTTAAAGGATACTAAATTAACATCGGGATGCAATTATGCTCCTCGGCTTTTAGATGATGCGAAATCTAATTTTTTTGCACCGTGAATAAATATATACATATGAGAGTAATCATACAGAATAATCATGTCGTTTTTGTATACAAAAATATTGGTCAATTGGAGCCAGGACGGTGGCATTCCTTGATTTTCCTAAAGTGACTGTGTCGAAGCATATCAAGGCTGGTTTCCTTAAAATAATTTTATAAATTGCATTGTTTCTCTGCACATATGTACGTACAATAGTTGAAGGGCAGTAGTATAAAAGAAGAGAAAGTGGATATAATTTCCAAAAAGTCTTGTTCCCCACAAGCCGAGAATGTGACAGGGACAAATGATAACACAACCCAGGACGTTAACGAAAAATGATTCAGAAGAAGATAACGAGCCAGATTCCAGAGCAGATCTGATCAAGACGATGATGATGAGGATAATTCTCATTTATAGATTTTCAGATTGCGTCTCTTTCTCCTAACATCTTCATGGGCAAAATATCGTCCGAATCTACTAAGGCATCGTTAATATCCGTGTATAGCAATCCTTCATTCTCCGATTATTGCTCTAGACTTTCCCAGCTTTCCTTTGTGCTCCTTCAAAATCTTCTTTGCTTTACAAATTTTCGTCGTTACCATTTGTATCAAAATTATATTACATATTAATGCTTAAAACATTGATTCTCAGTAAAGGTAGGAAATTCCAAAATTCTTTGCTCAGCCACAAAATGAGAGCACAAGTATTTTCTTCAGTCATGAGAACATAAATTCTGGATTCGTTGTCGGATTACTCATTTTTTGCTTTCACCCATCTAGATGTGTGACGCACATATTTTCAATGTGTATTAGCATAGCGTAAATTAAATGCCAGTCGTCAGGATAGTAGTAAATGGAATGAGTGCCTTAGAAAACGTCAGATTTATTGTCCATATTTTGCTGGTATGAGTATGGACAAATAACAGGATCGTAATGTTTTTACTTGGTTTTTCAGGTACTGCCTTTGGTCTATCTTCGGTTAAGTGGCTTGTTAAAATTAATAATTTATGAATATGATTTCCACATTCATGAGAGTAAGAGTTTACTGTCATAAAATATCCGTGCAGTAAAACATGGAAATGTTCAACAAAACAACGTTACAACGCACATATGTTTGTTCATAAATGTGCCTCCGCAGCGGGAGTGAAGTATGTAAGTTAATGAAACAGTACACATGCGAAGATGGAGTATTTTTGAAGTAGCAGCAGAGAATTTGAATTCAACTACAAATATTTGCACAGGTAGTTGAAGCGTAAGAATGAGACATGACAGATTGGATTGCACAACTCCTCTCCGTTTCCGGGCGCCAGGCGATGACAAGACAAGTGGACCATTCTGCATAAAACATAACAGCACTACTGACATTTAAGCATGAGAAATAATGTCATCCCATAAACGGGTGCGTCAAGTGAAACAAAGTATGGCACTAGCGTTTATCTAGCCTCCAAAAGCATGCGAATTTGGCACTCCCATCCAGTTTATGTGGGAGGCATACATATGTTCACAAGGAGAGATGCATATTATATTTTGGAAGTATAGGAGCTTAGCTGATTAGCTTTGCTCAACAGTTCGGTTCAAATGGTTCTCGGACGTGGTGAAAGGTAAGGGTTCCAATAAATCAAGATCGAGTAGGGAGCAGACAGTGTGGAATTAGGACTCTGCCGACTTGGATGAACGCAAGAGATGACGAACGAGGAGAGAGAGATACAGCCAGCACACGGTGCGGCCAGCTTATGGGGCCTTTTGAAACAATTCCACAGACCTTTTTCTGCAAATGTTTTTACATATTCTTCCGTCCTGAGGGCTGGAAGGACCGTCAGTGAAATTTCGTTGAGCCACACCCCCTGGGGGGCGAAATGGCCCCCCGGTTGACCTTTGAGATTAAAATTGGCCTAGGTTGTAGGTCTATGTGTTTGTAGCTTACCCTCCAAATTTAGAAGCATTTGGCCTACTACAACCCCGGGCGCCGTATGGCGACACTTGCAAAACCCCCCTTTTCAGCCCTTTTCAACGACTTATAGTTTCGCTCAGTGGATCGATGGAGCTTAGCTGCTTGCGGGATCACATGGCACATATTCTCGAGATCCATCTCCAGCTAAAACTGTAGATCCGCACTTCCCCTATTCAAAGTTATAAGCTTTTGAATTTCAGCGTAATTCAGCATGTCGACATGCCCATATCGTCGACACCTGTTTGTCGATAAGATCAACAACATGTGCGACCATCAATTTGTGCATAGGGATACGATCGCACATGTTGTTGATCTTATCGACAAACAGGTGTCGACGATATGGGCATGTCGACATGCTGAATTACGCTGAAATTCAAAAGCTTATAACTTTGAATAGGGGAAGTGCGGATCTACAGTTTTAGCTGGAGATGGATCTCGAGAATATGTGCCATGTGATCCCGCAAGCAGCTAAGCTCCATCGATTCACTGAGCGAAACTATATGTCGTTGAAAAGGGCTGAAAACAGGGGTTTTGCAAGTGTCGCCATACGACGCCCGGCGTTGTAGTAGGCCAAATGCTTCTAAATTTGGAGGGTAAGCTACACTCACATAGACCTACAAAATAAGCCAATTTTAATGTCAAAGGTCAACCGGGGGGCCATTTCGCCCCCCAGGGGGTGTGGCCCAACGAAATTTCACTGGCGGTCCTTCCAGCCCTCAGGACGGAAGAACGTGTAAAAATTTTTGCAGAAAAAGGTCCGTGGAATTGATGCAAAAGCCCCCATAAGGTGGCCGCACCGTGCAGCAACATAATGCATTATTCCAAAAGGTTGAAGGCTCAGCATTCTTCCTTTTCCCCAATCCGTCCACTCTACTTTCCTGAGATGCACGACGCTACATATATCTTTAGCAAAACGAGACATTTCTCGTATTTTTTCGAAATATTTCTTAAAGTAACTAACGATGAGTATTCAGAGGAGCAGGTGCGCCCTACAAATGTTACATGATTGGGTTTACGTTTGTCACACAATCGTCACATTGCCAATTAACTATAATTTATTGACAATTACATGCAAGAACTTGAAGAATACTTAGAAGTACAATGATTTTCAGAGAAATTTTACATGAAAAGATTATATTCACGAATTTCTGGAGTAGAGATGTTAGTTTTGTAAGTAAACTTTTTTGTATAACAGGTGAAGAAGTTTGAGCGTTGATTAAAAATGTACTGTTATAAATTCTCTACAGAATCTGCAGAGTGTAATTAATTAGCTGTAAAGCTTGATGAAAAATGGAAGAAGGCTAGCAACTTTTTTTCAATCAGCAAAAAAAGAACTTTCAAAGGAGCAAATGTATTGTCTCATTGCGAAATTCTCCTAGAGTTGAGCCACCTGTGATTGCCTTATGTTGGAAAAGCAAGATAAAAGCATTTTTTTGGAGTCACATTGAAAAGGTGATTCTAATTAAAATGGCGACGACGAAATGATAATAGTCCACAAAGTCTTTTTGCCAGGCAATTGTTAAACCAAACAATAACACAACATTTATAATATCAACAACATCAATTAATTAATCACTTTGAAGATGGATAATTTTTTGCATAAGGTTGTGCCAATGCAAGGCAAGAGTTTACTCAATTGGAGAAAGTCGGAAAATGTGAAAATGAGGGCAATCTGAGACGCCGTTGGAGGCCGGGAATTCTACTTTTGCCGTTCTCAGTCCACCCAAAACCAAAACCTCACAACCAATTTTCCGGTGCTTTGCTGATCATCTGACGTAATAATAGTTAACAATAATAATAGGTAATGATTAAGGTTATAATTAATTAACAAAAGTATTCCTCAGGCACTGACCTCGAACCTCGAATTGTAACCACGAAATAAATTAACATGCTTCGCTGCCGAGTTAGTTGCAATAACAGCGTTTATTTTGAATGGAGAAACGTGACTACGTGAGTGCTCACTTCAGTTCCTTGGACTTTCATAAAGCGATAGAGTTCGAGAGGATTCTGAAGATCGAATTGGCGAAATATCACAATCAATTTGGTAACTTTTGTATTATATCAAATGGGGAGATATTTTGATTTACTTGGGGGTAACTGAACTTTTTACTGGCCAGAAAAGAAACCCTGATACAGTCCAACATTTAATGAAGAGTCGTAGCTCACACTACTATCTACATAGTGGTTTGCAATAAAATCAATTTCAAGTTCGTTTTTAGGTAAGGTATTGTACGGATTAATGATTCTAAATTCTACAATGTTAGCAATATAAATGCTAATTTTCTTACTCTAGGAATTATATATACTCGTCTCTGGATTGTGAAGTACTTGCACCTGTTGTTTTCAATTTAAACATTTTATGTGTGAAAATGTCGAGAATTTATGGAAAGGTGGGAAAAACTTTGCCAAGTTATTTGAGATCAGCTTCGCAAATGAGGGCACCCGTTTCTTCGATTAAGACAAACTGTCACCAAGATATTCAACCCTGCCATCATCCTTATCAATCTGAAGAGATGTCGTATTTTTCGAGGACATCTTGGTGCTCTATTCACTCAGTGGCTGCCACAAATCCAGAACCCGTTGATATCAAGGCCTCAGGGGCCCAATCTCCATCCCCTAAAGCAAATCCTCCCTCGGATGAGAAACCAAGCTTTGACAAACTCCAAGAAGTTGAAAAAACGCTAATAGATTCTGTAAGTGATTCTCAACATCTAAACTTTTAATTAAATATGGAAACAAATTAATTACTGTTTAATTTTAGTTGTCAAACATATTCCTACGGCCGATGAATTACAAAATTTATCGTGATGATTTATTGTTCATTGATAACATACGTGGTAAACGAACAACGTAAGCCTTTAGTCTTAAGAATATATATATATATTGATTCTCACAGATGTAATATCTTTATATGTCCGATTTTTTAAGGAATCTATTCCAGTATATTCAACAGGCAGCTTTGCTTCGGGCTGCTGGCCATGTAAAATTTGCCTTTGTGAAGTTCATCATCCTCAACACCGACATATCCAAGGAAGAAGGAAGAATCACAGTGAGATGGAAAATTGTAGGAATTGGAGCGTTACAGGTTTAAATTGTTATCAAATATTGAAACATACATACATCTGAAAATTAAAATCATGATTTGTTGAAATGGAAAAAAGGTAATGCTACAATTCTGGAAATTTAAACTGTGGGACTGGAAGGGAATAATGGAACGTCAAGGTACATGGTATGACGGAGTTTCCTACTTTGACGTTGACTCTAACGGATTAATCTATCAACACATCGCGGATAAGGTTAGTCATTAAGTATTGCATGGTGCCAGTATTTTGTGGTTATATTTTTATGTTTATGCTCTTTATGCGTAGATGATGATAGACAAGGATAAGGACATTCTCGTAAAAACTCCCAAGACGGTTTTAGCCGCAGGATTGTTGGCAGCCTTGTTATTTCCAGAATCTAGTCTTCATTGTAGCAGCTCAAAGTACTCTCCAAAGTCAATCACGCTACTAATGTAGTGAGTATAGTAATATTATACGTAGAACCGTAGAAAAAATATTTGCATTTATTATGCTTTGTATTAAATTGAGACAAACTAGTCGCTCATGGAAGATTATGGGCGTCCCTGTCATCTTGTGAACAATAAAACATCCGTTAAATCTATGTATTCAAGAAGTATTTTATGCAGCTTGAATTCTCCTCAGATATCATGTACAGGTTACTTACGCAAATCAAACTTCCCATGCATGTTTATTCATTAAATTGTATTCATAAGATTATTGGTATATCATAGAGTTCATATGATTATCAATTATACGTAAAAGAAGAATGTTGAAAAGCTGACTACAAAGGAGTGATGCATGCTTTTTTGCACTTACATATATACATATGTACCATTTGAAATTTTGTAATTTTGAAAAGCTTTTATTATGAAAGGAAGGGTACAAAAAACATCTGGGTGGAAGATGAGGAAAGCTCAAGTTTCAAAGTTACCATGCGATGGCGACTTGAGTCAGTTTTTTGAAATGACGGCTGACTTGACTTTCTCTTCCTTATGAACGAAGGGAAAGTCAAGTCGGATTGCACAATCCGATAGTCCTGTTGAAACTGATAAACTGTAAGTTGTGTCTGCTGCTGGATGAATACAGATAAGTGACACTTTATCCTTGCATACAAACCAACGACTCGCTGAGTTTTGATTAAATTGTGGTAATATTATGCACCTGTCTAGATACTTGAATTTTGTACATAACCGCATGCATATATTTCTTTCTGTTGTCAAAACTCATGACCCATTTTTTACACACATACGTAGATAGGTGAATACAATTCTGCTAAAAGATGGCCCAAATTAATTGTCCCTATGAAATGCACCCATCCTTAATAACATAACTTACAACTATTACCAATTTAGAAATGTGCGTACATATTTAGTACACACCGTGTGTATGTTCTTGCACATTTTGCTACGCTTGGACGCATCACAAATATTTTGATGTTTCCCTATTTTCACCAGGGACTTATTAGACTTGTGTCGACACGTCGACAATTGCATACGTGATTCGGTTAATTACCATACCATCACAACTGGAATTCCTCTCGGAACAGAATGCGATAAGTATATACACATGTGTTTAACAAACACTGTGATGTATACCCACAAGAGCAAGTTATAAATTGTCGAAAGTTATTGCAAAAAGCGAGCGTTGCGTTGCGGCAATAATGAAATGACTGGTAGTAATTAATTTCAGGGAGGAAAATACATAATGATAAATAGAGGTTCTCCCCATATGTGGCACGGGCAGGTCATTACGGATGAGGCGAGTGAGCAAAGTCGTTAGGAAATGCCACAACCACAACGAGCGAACCACAACCATAAGCTGAATTTACATAAATCTTTGGCCACTAAAATTGTCCAGTGAAGTGGACAAAATGAAGGAAAAACTCCGTGTACTAAAGTATGCACAATACTACCAAAAAATAACACAAAACTGATTCGCTATGCTATCTCTTCGTGAAATAGCTGTGAAATGCATACACACAAGAGGCAAAGAAGACCAGGGATGAAAACGTGCTTTGAGTTAGAGTTGCCTCCATAGATGAGATGATGATGACCCGACGTCATCTCCCTCCAACAGTCCGTGCCTCTTGTTCCAAGTTGCTCATAGGGCGACTTCCACGAGCTCGAAGTCATTCGTGACATGACAGGATTTCTATTATGAGAAAGACTTTTACACTTTCTCGAGACTTGCATGTCAACCCCTTTGACTCGGTTGTTGGCACGAACAGCACAAAAATGATGCCTTTGGAGAAAGCAAAAGGAGATTCTGAAATTATATAATGTGCTGTGCTGCTCCAAGCCAGGAAATTAAAGATGAAACTGATTATAGAAACGATATTGTGCTTATTTCCTTGTCCTCATTCATAAGTAGACGTGTAACCTCAAACTTGGTCTCGTCTTCTTTCTCGCTCTTTATTCCAACTTCTCTCCACACAAAAATCCTGATGAATGGTGGACGAACCGAGTCCTTGATGCATAACCAGTTCTATGCTCTCCTGGTCCTCCGTAAAAACCATGTCGGTGGAAATTGTATCCTCTCCAGCAACTCAAAGGAGAGGAAATAGATATCTTTCTGCATTTCTACAACTTAACGAGCTCCACGAGAGGGGGTTCACAATATCAGTTCATTACTTCCTGTCCATTACGATTACTAATGTTTTATGAAAATTATTATGAGAGCCGTTCCCTTATCTGCACAGGAATGAAAAAGCAATAATGCAGATGAAATGCTGCCATCCAACCCGTCTCAGCCGGCTTTAAATATACATGCAAACTGTGACTTTTTCAACTTTTCATCACAAAGAGTTAATTGGAAATTCCCACGTAGTTATCATAAATATATGTTATTGACGCTCGCGAATATTTCCGAAAATATTAACGAGCAAAAAAATAAATGAAATTCTAAAAATGTCCACAATGTAAAGGAAAATATGTTTTCATTTCATCCACAATTTACTGTATGTAAAATTCAATGTGTGAACAGAAATGTTTGATTTGCATTCAAGTCTGACAACATTTTTATTAAAATCAAAAATCCACATCATACATGAATCAAAGTCATATCGCATCGTCGGAAAGTTTTCATCAAAGAAAGCGAGGTTCACCTTTTCTTCTTGTTTGTAAGCTTTCATCCTATTCAGAAAGTGGCTTGGGTTTCAGTAGAGGCTTGGGTTGGTTGGGCAGTATGAATATGTGCTAGTAGTCTCGACTGCAGTCATTTCATTTCGCTGAATGACAGTCCCGAAGACGACAGTCCGGATGATTGCATAACAGCTAATCCCGGTTCCGGTCCTTTGCTGCAGGGGAGAAATTCTTCATGATTTCTATGATACTCTTCTTAATGTCCTTCCATTCAATCGCCAACTTTTATCATATGTAATTCGGAGTCGGAAAAGGACAGATTATTGAACAGCCTGCTTTCTACTGGAAGCTGGGCTAGTGCTAATAATATCATTCTTATTATGCTGCTGTTGAAGAGATGAGCACTGAATTGGAGAAGATGTGGCTTCGCTCCGAATCAATACAATGCCGACGGAGATGATCTTCAGCAACATAAAGGGTGACTGACTTATTAGCTCGCCTCAGACAATATCAAATCTCATGGTGGACTAAATGTCAGATAATAAAGCTCAAGTACAGATTGCAACATCCAAATATAATTGTATTCAAAGCTAACAAACTCGAGCAACACAATGGAGCAGCGAAAGCTTCCAATTAGTGATGAAAATTCTGCATTAAATATGCTACAATATAAATCCTAAGACGTCTAAAACCGTCAACACTAAGAATTTTACAATTTTGACCTTTGATACTAGGTCATCGCAGGTTGTTTATAATTACCAACGGTATAAAGTTTATACTATAAACCTTAATAATACTATCAGTTCGACTACCACATAATCTCTTTGTCATCCAAAGTATTATCACTAATGACCTGGCGACGTGAACTTTTACCTAAACTGCAGGTTAACGAGGTCCCTTACTTAAAAAAATTTGAGAGGGGGTTGATATCCGAAGAAATTCTGACGCGGTTCATGTGGACGGACGGGCAGACAGACTGCCAATAGTAGACCACAATAAGTAGTTCCTGTTCCTTGTGGTACAGAATAATCGATCGGCAAACTATTTAATTTGATTTCAAATAGACTAAAAACATTTTGTTAAATATGTCAAAATACAATTACAGTATAACCTGCAAAATTACCTGGCTAAACATCCTTTACATTTGTATAATCTTCTGGTGTTTTTGTTATTATGTAAATACCATCTCCTGCAATGTAATAAATTTCTATATGTATCATTTATAAAATAGGCAAACCTTTTCGTGAGCAGGAGTATAATTTTTTTTTATTGGAAACCTGTAATATGCATGCCTTCTCTGTAAAGTTTGTAATAAGCTAGATTTTTCTCTCAAAAGACCTTCTTTTTAAATAATCATTGTGAAGCAGCTTTTAATACCCTTCCCCCATTGAAACGATTATACTCAGGATACCAATTTAGCATTTCATCATTAATGAATCAACATAAGGTCTGCATTCGTACTTTTCGTATAACGCATATATTTAGGATACACGGAAAGCAAATAAATAGGAATTGTAATATTGCAATAATATTCATTACGACGACATTTGAGTGCAAGGGTTATGTCGGAGTTGGAACCAATGTAGCCCGTTTGGCTTGAAATTCTCAACGGAAATTCTCAACAGTGACTGGGTTTAACTAAATTGAGAAAGTTTGAACAATGCTTGTCATGGATTATTGTTTAGAAGAACGGGAGCCAGACCTCTTCAAAATAAGCCACTTGCTCATTTCACCTATACTCGAATTTGTCCTTGGTCGAGCTGTTCCACCAACAACGTCTCCTTCTCCTTGCAATATATTTTCTTATTAGGAAATTATTTAAAGTGCTATAAGTTTTCGAAATGTTTCTCGCCCTTTCCCCCATTCAAGAGTTCCTCCACTTGCCTCCAAAGTGGAAAGGTCATTATGCATGGTTTAGTTACTCGGTTTATTCATTTACTGCTCAACAATCCTTATGAAGTTGTAGCTAATTCAAGTAAATTGATGAATATTACAGGAATATGAATTATGCATTAAGCCGGTGTTCTCTAACGCACAAATTATGACAATTCTGCTGTGGAGGTTGGACATAATGCCACAATTGAATCAATTAATTGATTCAATATTTGTTCAATAATACTAAATTGTTTGATGTCCTACTTAAATAAACCTTGACTTTCTTCACTATGCTATTTTTGAAGAATAGCTATTTATATCCAGAAATTGCATCTCTATCTTTAGTCATGTAACATGACTAAAGTTTTCTCTAAAATCTGCAAAATGTGACATGAAACATGACCCAAGTTTATAAAATTATGAATCTGTAATAAACGATCTGCTCAGAATATCCAACATTGTATTCAATCTTTTGTGGTGTTCAAAATTATTAATTTAAAGTCCTTATCAGAACTCGTGACGTGAAAGGCTTGTTGTATTTATAATTCTCTTAACGATTTGCTGCACTGCTATTATATTCAAACTACACTGGTTGTATTTACAAGGGTAGCCGTTTGCTAGGGTCGGCACACAATAATGAGTGTTTGCAAATTAAATCAGGCTCCCAATCGACCTATTTAGCTTCGATGTTAACAAGGCTGACTTGTAACAGAGCCTCAGTTTGCAAGCAGGTTTTGCATAAACCAAGAACAATAATTAGCAGGGTCTGTATCCATGTAGCTCTGAAACTGACGCAGACAACGTTAATATGTTGGGACAATAGACGCCATTTAAGTTCACCCTAAGTCAAAAGCCATGACTTCCGGAACAAAGTTCTCTTTTCACGCTTAACCAAAGCATGTTTCATCTCATACAACATTGTTTTAACCGTCCACGGTCGACAGCCGGTAAAAGTTACCCGTCCCATCTAACACTATGTGTATGCAGTTCCCTTGCCTGGGCTAATTCCCAACTAATGACCTTAATAATCTGCTTTCTTTCAGACCCATTCGTCTCGGATCTCATCATCTTTCGTAATAACGACAACAGAACGCAATATAGAATTTCCTTGCTCTACCGATTAAAATTCCATTTTGTCTTCTCAAACATGAACGTCAAGTAGACATTTTATGTAAGACGTGAGCCTATTATCAGTAGTACGGATAATGGGAAATACAATTCTCAAGTGTTTTTTTCAGGAGAGCAACTACATGCTATGCATAACCTTTGCACTGACAATTTACTCATACATATTGATTAAAACCTTTTGTCATGAATGAAACTATGTGCATGGTACCTAGTTGGTAAGCTTCATGTTTCTCTTTGTTGTGAAAGAATGCAAACAGGTCATTTGTGACTAATGACTGCAACTCTCGAGGCTTCCTCTCCTAATTTTATCTCGCATTTTGAAGAGGCCTCCCATGAGTCAAGTTGTAGATAACGTGTTTTTCATGTTACGAGAGAGCAAGTTTCAAGGAAAATTCCCCACGGGGACTAAAAATGCAAGAGTTGATTCTGTGTGAATGTAGATTTCAAGCCCCAATTCCAGGGATATTTTAATGATAAAGACTCACAAAGGCAGAGAGGACTTGAAATCACAAAGTGTGAAAAACGTCTCTGGTGGAAGATAAAGAAGATAAAACACTTAATAAGTTGAAGATGACAGAATTTCAGCAGGAAAAAGAAACTGGGAATTGCTTTGCTAGAGATCGGACAGCCGCTTAGGCTAACATCGCATGAACTATATTTGTGTCATATTTATAAGGACGTAATACCCGAAAACTCGAACGAGCAAAATTGGAATGCTTGTTGAATTGAACCTGAAAAGAGATGGTGAAAACTTTGCTTCTTCTTGAAGTCATCATCATGATTACTCTTTCAGTGTTGATGTTAGTATGACCAGCTATTTATGAACCAATTCAACAACTCGAAACTCCCTTGAAGCAAACTTTTTGCGACAGTGGCAACTTTCTTTTATACTTCCCTTTCGCAAAATGAGCTTGAAGGGGAATTGAGCGGGTTGAAAAAATATATGCTCTCGTAACGACAAAGTGGAAATAAGCTCATGTATGCTCATATGTATATACACATACTGCAAACTGCCTCGATGTTTTTCTCAGGGGCAAGAACACGGTACTCTTGTACATACATATATTGAAGTATAAAAGCCTTAACAAGACGCAATAAGATATCTATCTTGATATTGCATAGACCAGTAAAAAGGGAATTTTTTGACCTGTGGTTTCTGCCCCTGTAAGCGAACAAGTATAATGGACGTCCCAAAATGTATAGTGGGAGCGTTGTCCGTGCTGAAGTGAGACCTTCTGACTGAGTCCTCGTAAATATCACAAGAAAGTTTCAAGACAGCCAACTTGGGGAATATTTCAGGCATTTTCTGACCACAGCACCACCCTTTGCCTTGGATTGTCCGCCGCAATATATTTGCAATGCAAGAAGTGCAAAAATTTTCTTGCACCGTGAATTATCTATATTATGCATGCATACATACCTATGTATAGCATAACTTTGAGATAAAATGACTGGGGAGGTTGAAAAGATGATCCTGAGGCTAACCTACATATCTAGATTACACATCTACATCTGTGGCAGCATAAAAGTTGATCAATATTGTAGATCACAATTAGTAGTAGAAATCATATAAAGATTCAGATGGCCTTGCAAAAGAAACCCATACATTAAGCACATTGAACGTACTCGGACTACCACGCATTATCCCTTTCGAGAGCATCGCTAATAGCACTTGGACTTGTTTTATGAACACCGCTGTCGTACGATTCAAGGATACGAAACGTTAGGAAAACCGGGCAGAAGAAGGGAAGTGCAAAATAGTACATTTAAGGGCAGTTGTGTTGCAGAGTAAATTTTACAGCTTGAAGTTCTGCCCATATATATATTATTTATTTGCAAATATAATGCAAATTATATAAACCGTGGCATTCTGCCTTAACAATATTTTTAACTTTTATATGTAAATTGTATTTGTTAAAAGCAAAGTTCTCAGTTGGTAAAGTAATAATATCACATCATTTTTCTTTCTTAGCCCGACAATTTGTCCTCCACATATTAGGGAAACTTCAGACAAATAAAAGTGCCAACAACTCGAGTTACGAATTCAATCTCACCATTGTAAAAAAATGTTTAGAATTGTGCTGTAATTCGTTGAACACTTGGGTTGAGTAACTCTGAGTCCCTCCAACTTTTTATCATTAGTGTAAAGGAGAGGAACACAAAGTTACAAGTGGTTCACTTCAGATTCAACGACATTTTGCGAAAACATCAATGCACAGATCATCGTGAAGGGTGAAAGTTATAAACTTATTTGAATATTTACCTGATAAACTCGTATAACAACCTGAGAGCAAAAGAAAGAATGCGCAAATTCCTTTTCATTCTTGGAGCTTTCCTGCGTTGCTGGCCATTTCCAATACCTCTGCCATCAATATAATAGTTGAGTTTCAGTTTTCAATTTTTTTAGCTCCCCAATTGGGAAGATCTGGAGTTGAACAGACGATGGACGGTTTTAGACCACCACCATGAACTTGTGCTTCCTGCATCATTACACAAAATCTAGTCGAGTCCGGTGTTTGTTATGTTAAACGACCGAGACCACGCCGTTTAGATTTGCTGAATTGGAAGAAATTGAGTTAGGTAAATGCTCGTGGGAATGAGATAAATGTACATTTTATTTATTTGAACCTGACATTCACCATCGTCGGGACTTAAAATGTATTACATAACTTTGGACTTTGCCTGAGTCCACTTATTGTTGGACATGCTGACTGTTTGGATTTAGAGATATATCGACTTTTCCACTGCCTGTACTGCATGTGAAAGTCATTCGCTGAGGGATGACCAAATACTAAGTATTTGAAAAGACATCCATCAGTTAAGCAGCTCTGATCTGATAGCTACACGGACTTTCAATAATACAAATGGAAAGAGTTAAAAGCCAAACTGGGATTAGTCGATTTAATTCTGTATACACGTAATATTGGCTGGTGTGGTCCTATGGGAGAAAGTATAAAAAAATTCAGTCATAAGATGAATAATAAACCGGCTCCGCGTCTGTGATGGTTTTTTGAGTAGGAGAAATGGACTTGGTCAAGTCGTTAAAAGAAATTATTGCTACACTTTCAAAATTCTTCAAATATAGATTATACAAATGCATTTTAGAAAGTACGTCTGTGACAATAAGTACTTTTTAAAAAGTTTGTCCATAAAACAGGCGTTTATGCATTTATTTTCCATATTTCTGTGTAGGATTGAGTTTAATTGTGGTATGTTTTTAGTGAAACTAATCAAATGGTTAGAAATTAGCAATAATCTACAAAACTGTTATTGTGCTCAAGTTGCAATTGCTCTTAAGGTTGAGAAGTAATGAGGTAATTGGGAATATTGCATGAATTGAATGTGAGATAGCAAACATGCGCTCAAAATGAGCTTGTGCTTTCTCAAAGTGTAAAACTAGTACCCGGACGGAATCCGAGCCCCAGTCTCAACTTACCTTTCTCTCCAATCGGTCGTTGGGTCCTCCTCGTTCTCCAAAAAGCTTCGCCTACTCAGTCTCAACTTCCAGACGTGGCTTGTCAAAGAAATTCTCAATTGTCAAGAATATTTCGGTAGTTATAACCTATCGGAAAATCAACGACGTAAATAAGGTCACCCTTAAACTCAATTTGAAACCAATTCAAACGGTTCTCTGTACGTACGTACATTTATAATATTAATTTGAATTAAATACAATAGTGCATGTGCTTTGTGTGGGCGACTTTATACATTAGTGGGATTCCCTAAAATTGGACCCATAAGTCACATGCATAAGCTGTTGCATAACTTTAGAAAAACTAACTTTTTGTAAGCTAAACGGAATGAAATGTCATCTGACTTTGTCGCTGATCTACCAACCCTTGAGTTGCTGCATATAAATTGTGTTGCATAAAATAATCCTGTGTGACAGTGAGACAGTGAGGTGTATGACATCACAATTACGACAGTGTTTTATTGCGTGGCTTAGATGAACAATTTATAAGTGTACAGCAAGTAAAAGGTCAGCACATTTTTAACAAAAACTTGCACTTCAAGTAATAGCAGATATCAGCCACAGACATCCACATGCCATTTCAAGCTCTAACTTAATTGTTTAAAGACTGGAAAGGTTTGAGAGACCACTTTGTAACGGACAACCACAAAATTAATACATTTATAAAATCTGATTAAGAAGGTTTAGTGAAAGCCAACACACTCCGCAAGAAGCTGGTGAACCAATAAATTTAAAAACTTTGGGGTGACGTCCGTATGTTTGAAATCTGCCAACTTTTTAGGGGGCTGATAACTTTCTCGGTGGAAGATTTGCAACATTTATTCACTCAACTCAAACCAAAAAGTCAGTGAAGCAGAACTCAAACTTGGTGCAAGTTTCCATATTCCATAATTTCCCCTCCAGTGAAAGTGAAAATAAAAGTGGCAAGTTATAGAAGAAAGCAGGCAAACTACAATTTCTCATCGGTTTGAGTAAGTTGAACCAAGGAGGTTGTTTTACTACAACTGTTTTACTACTTTCCTATGCATCTGTCAAATAGTTTTAGTGTTCTCCATTACATCCGTATGTACATACGTGTGTATCCAGTCTGTGTGACTTTCTCTTTTGGAAACGACGGCAATAACCACATACCCAATAATCATACATGTGTGCATAGTCTTGGTCTCCGTGTGCTCGATTCGAGGAGAGCTTGAAATAAATGTGAAAATCCAAGCGATGCGTTTTCATTTCATACGATGCATCAGAAGTTGGCATTAAACATAACGAGAAAGTTGTACACACAATCGTAATCGTAACCCAAGGATTTGTTTTTTGGGGGATTATGTAGTCAACATTTCTGCAGACGGCGGTACTCACGTTATAGAAATGAAATGTGGTTTCGCCTGAACTTATCCCATATAGAGTTTTATGATTACCAATAAATACAAAAATCCTGTTGTGTCGCTCTAAATTTTATTTACAACCTGACATTGCAAAAGTTACAGGGTTGCACGGAGAGATGCTGGATGATTATGAGTACACGCATGTATTGACTTGCCATACAAAAGTAAATAAATAGGTTTTCTGTGAACATAATTTTTTACATGGATGGGTTTGGTAAAATAAATGAGGAATGCCTGCAATGGCATTAAAACTTTCCCTTTGTTAAATGTTAGAGTTGAGCTCGTGCATAGATTCGACGTTTTCATAGCTGAGTAACATGTTTCCTTACAAACGTGGATATATTGCTATTTATACATATCGGGTGGAGAAAGCAAGTTTGGCTGCGTGCAAACTTTTTTTATACGTTTCGTTACTGAAATTTGGTTTCTTTAAGGGTTAAGATAATATTATTTGTATTGTGTTATTGGATTACTTAACCACATAAATGTCCGGAAGATTGATGAGTATGAACTTGCGAATAAATGTGGAAATGACTGAATACACGTTTCCCCAAATACAAAGACGAATGGCTTCATGTCGTTATAAATATAAATTCCGGGTTTCTGTCTGACTTTATAAATGCTTAATGTGGCTCTCAATAAAAGAAAGTGAGTCGAGAAGGACACGATATTCGAGTTCTTGGTTCATTTATTTCAAGTCCAGCTCAGGTTTCACTGGTGACTTGGTGGGTGTAGATTACCAGAAGAAGGAACACACAAATAGCACATTTTGTCATACAATATTCGGCTGTCTAGTGTACACAAGGAGATTGGTGGAAAAAGCAAATGCTCTTAATTACTTGCCTGTGCGTATATATACATCTGAACATTTGCCGTCATATTGGTCTCGTTTCGAGAATTTCTGATGTGGCCCCGCGTCCATGTCATTTATCAATTAACTTCGGCCACAGGACATTAGACTGTAATGTGAAACCCAATGAATGAATCGATGGGTGAAAGTGGCATCCATTATGATTTGTTGCAAGTCAATTTTGTTGTTATTGCATTAACTACATGTACTCCCTCATTTTGGCCCAACCAGTAACTTTCTCTTCCTCTTCTCCTGCTAACTTTCTCCAATTTAACTTAAGAATAGCGGACACGATGTTCTGTATAATTAAATTACACAAAACAAATAGGATAGTCGAATCAAATTAAGGCGACTAATTAATTTAATTCACTTAACATGAGCTGATAATTATATTTTTCTTCATTGACTAATAGTGGGGAAAAATGTAATAAAATGCGTGCCTCACGTGTCAATGCCAATAAACCGTATTGCGAATACGTACATCTTTATCTGTCACGACAATGATGAGGGGTTGACAACTGATAACGGAACGTGGTGGTGACGGACATTGACGAGTCCTGCGTCGGTTAGGATTTTTGTAGTGTGGAAAATTCTTTCAGTAATCGACCTGAAGATATTGGCAGTTTGAGTCATGCACCCCCCAGAACGAATGAGCGAAGGAAAAGTTGATAGTGCTGGTGGTCTGAAAGTTTTATAGCCCATAACTCCATACTCATCTGCTGGAAACGCTCCTATGGTGGGTTTACATGAATAGATTTTTATTCAAGATTTTAGTCTCGCATTATTCTTCACCATTTTCTTCTTAGGCAGCAGTTTTGCTTGTTAGAAATGGCGCATGTAATGGGGACGGTGGTGGTGCAAACATTTTCCTGTTGAACACCCTGCCTGCCTGTCTATCTATCTGTCCTGATGATGTGTTTCCCATTTTCATGTATGTTTTATTCACAATATTATTCCCCACCATCGAGAAGGCACTTCGTCTTCGTTCTCCATGCTAAACAACCGCAAAGGTCGCTTTCTCCTGCTCATGGCACAACAGCGATGAAAGTTTTTATCTCGCCAATGCATCCCAAGTCCCAGCCAATCTCTATGCCGTATATTCTCCTTCGCCTATAAAGTCAAGCGAATAAATAAGTTTGAGTATATGTAGAAGGAAACGATGTTTTAACAGCGAAATGCTCGCATAAATAGCTATAGTGAAAGAACAGGCATAAAATTTAAGAGGCACACTTTTCATCTTTTCCCTAAAAACGACAAAGAAATTTGTTACGGCTTGCTGTTTTCTTCATGTGTGTCTAATACCTACATATTTATCTGCGGATAGCATGCACTTGGATTTACTAATGGGTGGACGATACCAAAATCACAAACACGTATATATATCTACATTCGTACATACATGTATGTATATAAAAGTATGTGATAAAGGTGCAATAAAGGACAGGGTATGGTTACTTGGCATAAAATGAACTGGGTCAATTCTGCGATAATCTTTTCTTAAAAAACCAACTGAGAATCATAATTTGAAGGGAATTGAGAAGGAGTAGACCAGCGGAGCAATAAATGAGGCATAGTCTCTGAGGAGCTATGCAGGTGAGGGGTGTCAATGCTAAGAGAGATACGAGTCTCTTGGACAATTTCCGCATACCATTATTCACGTGGAATTTTTCCTTTACCACAGATGAGCCAAGAGAAAGCTGTCGTTCCATTTACACAGGCCTTGTGACATTGCCACACTTTCAAGACCGAGCAGAAGACCGGGAAGTAGAAGAGTACAAAATTGCGGAGAAAATCAAACCTTTTGGAAGTCTGGAGAGAATTTTGGGCTGGATCAGAATCTGAGTGGATCGTGAAGGGAAACCCAGGGAGTCGAAGTTTGGCCGGTGTACATACATACGTACCGACAGACTCTGCTTTTACCAACTACTTGGTGTGTCTTGCATCAAATGTGCCTAAAGGGTCTCGGTGTGAAGACGAAGCTCAGGAACCAGAGTTGAGATGGATGGATGGATTTTCCAGTTCCTGTCGACTCTCCTCTTCTCCTGGGTCCTGCTCCCATCACACATCTACGGAATTGGCGACACGCGTAAGCACTTTAAAACTTTCTCTCGCTCCTTTTCACAAAACTAAAACCAAAGCTCGGGAATTTTCTTGCATAAAACAAAACTTCTTTTCAATATGTCTTCCTCGCTCGAGCAATACACAAATCAACACAGTAAACCAACCAAATAATTCCAAGTGGGATTCAAATCACTACTACTCGTGCTCAAAGTTTTCCCCAAAATAGAAAATACAATGCCTGGAACAGCAATAAGTGTACGTTTTACTTACTATTACTGCGTCATGGTTAACGTTGTTTTGAGGAGCAGTATCCTCATTTCATATCTCGATCCTTTACAAATAAGTAATACTTATTTGTGATTAATTTCTTTATATCATTATTTTTGAGGAATTATTAAGGGGAAATAATTATTTTTATTTTGCCCTAGATTAATTTCTTCAAGTTTGAAACATGCCAAAATTTAAAGTTTATCAATTAATAAATCGTCGAATCTACTCTAGAAGTGGATTATTTAATGAATTTGGACTACTTTCAATTACAATGCGTAGAAAACATACTTCTGTATTATTGAATTTCTCTGTTAGACATATTTGAGTTTCACTCAATGGCGTTGCTTGTGCCTGGAAACAAAATTGAACTATTTAACTTTATCATGATTAAACAAGAAGGCTGACGACAATTTGAGAGGTGTGGAAAGAGAGATGGGAAGAAATTCGAACAATTTCCGGTTGGAATGTTCTCTCGTTTGTTTCTCTCTGGATTTCTCTCTCTAGCCGATGGCTGAAGTGGAAGAAAAGAACAAATCCGAGGTAGGCATGGAATGGTATAAGCTGGCTGTTTGTGTGTGTGTGAGGTGGTGATAATGGGAGTGGTGAAATGCCGCTTGATCCCCTCTGAGCAATATGTCACGAGAATTTTGAATTGAATATCGTCAATTTCCTTGCCAGTACGAAAACCGCAATCCGACAATCCTCCTTCCTTTCTAGCTCCAACCAACTAATTCCAGCAGAAGTTCCCCCGGCAGGTTTAATGAGATTTCGAAATCTCAGCATATGCAAATAAGCAGTGTGGGCTGCATAGTAATGAGTTGCTTTCCTTTTGTTTCACTCTTTCCAATGGAGGATCACACGGCAAATATTCATTCCCGTGTTCCATCCTCGAGCATTATCATGCTCCACGTCTCCCACTGCCAAGCCGCAACATCAGCCAATAATGTAATGTTCTCTGAAAATGACGGTTGTTGACGCTTATGTGGGGATTTCAAATTTTATTTATGGAAAAGTGAAAACATGAAAACATGAAAAAAACTAATGACCAGAAATTTGTCACATCTATTGCTCTTTCCAAGTGTTGTATCCCTGTCCAAGACTTGGAATGACTTTCTTCTTAATGTAACTTTGCTTGATTCCATACGGGATGTCTGCGAGGTCAACGAATCGTGCTCCTTCCAGTGGGTGTGGTTCATCCTCCTCATCCAAAGCTTGGAAAATCCAAATTCCGTCTCGTGCCTTCTCCCGAGCTTCCTCCTCCTCGATACCATCCTCACCAATTTCAGTCTCTGGGCGTGTCCAAATAAACCTCTCCTGACCTAGATGGAGACGATTCCATTCTTTCCCGTATGCCTATGAAGAAAAATAAACACAAAATATAACATTAAGTTACAAATATCCAACATTTGGAAACGAAAGTAAAATAAAAGTACCAAAATATAAGCTTCACCCTTGTGACGAGAGGCCAAAGAATGGCAACGGACTGCCAAAACCTCGTGGGTGTGGTTATTGGAGTCGGCAGTCAGTTGGAAGACTTTTGATCGTGGGTTGGTCATGTGACCTAATCTGCTTGTCACGTATCCTGAATTATTTTTGGCATCCCATTGGCCAGGGTAGATCAACATTCCAAAATTTGGATCACACAAGTTGGCAACTGTGAGAGGTCCAACATTTGGAGAGGAGACATCTATATAGAAAACATGAGTGTGGGGGGTTTCGTCTCTTTTCTTGGCCTTCGCTGCAGCTACCTCTTCTTTGCGTCGAGGAGTTTGTTGGAAAGCTACGGTGGCGTCGGAGATATTTTTTCGCCATTGGTTAGGGAAGTCGGACTTGCAATAAGAGTTTCGCCCATTAGCTTGTTTCATTGCGAATCCAATATTTGGAAGCCAAAAGACGTCTCTAGTTGGATGATACTCCACCTCGTCGCAGTATTGCAGAAATCGGGGGTGGTGTTCCTCAAATGAACCCTTTGTTGTCCTCTCAAGCCAATCACGGAACTCCACCCTCCGTGCGTGCTGATCTGGGTCGAGAGAGTACTAAAAATAATTATAAATCAACTAATTAATTAAATATTCATCCAAGTATTGGAACCAACACTACATATTTTTGTATGACTCACTATTTCGGCGTCTCTAGCGTTGGTGGGGGCGCTGACACTTGGGGGTAGAAGAGCCAAAGGTGGGGTGGTCGCGGTCACCGAGTGAGTTTGGGGCGCAGAAGTTGGACGTCGTCGAGGAAGAGCCGGAGAGGAGGATACAGAAGATGATGGCGCCGAGAGTGCCGGTGGGGCGACCCTTTTAGGTTTTTTCTTGGGAGGGGCAGCTGCTATAAATATCAAACGCCTGTTTACATAATTAAGACAATGTCATCCAAATGTTGGACCCAGAAAAAATAAATATTTACCATCCCGTTCCTCTCTCACATACTCTTCATAAGAGTCGTTTATTGCACGCTCAGGATCATATCTTTCAACTAAAAAAGAATAGGGGACATTAATCCAATATTTGGAAACAAAAGAAAAAGATTTGTTTACATTCCGGCTCCTCGACGGAAGAGGGTGCTGTAGCGGTCGCGGTCGCGGTGGAGCGAGAATGTGGCACAGAAACCGTGCGGGATGTGGCAGGGACAGATGAAGAACGTTGAGCTGTAAATACAACAACAATGCCATAAATATCCAACAATTGGAACTCAAAATGATCATTTATTTACCAGTAGACTCCACTAAATAGTCATACATGGTTGGATACCACTTGCCTCCGACCACAACACCTCCATCTAAAATAAACAAGTAAATATTTATCTAAAAATAGTCCAACTTTTGGAAAGGGGACAAATTAACTTACTCAGATTATCATGGTCTGGCTTCCCACCACCATCACCCCCTTTCTTATTGTCCATTTCCACTAAGAACTTATACAGCTTCTTCAAAGAGAGAGAGAAAGAGACCTAGGGCAGACTTAGGGCCAGTTAACTAAGATACTTTTCAGTCTTGGAAGCACTACTTAACGTACTTTTGGTGCATACAAGTCATTCAGAATTTCAGATGTCAAGCTTAAATTTTGTCATTGGTGTCCGTGCTTCAAAAGTGGATATTTTTTATGATAGTTGTATTGCACTTGCCGATATGTTTACTTACACTGTCTACAATAAATTTTTATTCGCAATCTTCGGACGACATTGGAGACAAGTGAACGGATCTGCTAGTCAATTCACATCCACAATGGAGATTGATTCACATTGGGTATTGCCCTCCATTGCTGGTGAGGGCTGAGGGCATAGCGGGGATAAAAATTTTCTCCAATTTCTAGAATGCTACAATTTAGACCACCAGCATTCTTGCCGTGCCCTCGTATCCTTTGAGGTTGGAAGTTTGTAGCATCGGTTTGTCGGATGCTGAAAACACATTGAATTTAAGAGCAGCAACAGTGAAGAAACTCGGGCCCAACGTTTCCATCCATGTGCACTTTATTTTTGCAAACTGAGAGTGAGTGACGGACTGAAAGTGTACAAAACATTTCCAAATAGATACACGAAAGAAATTCAATTTCACTTTGACTCAATGCTGCTCACACTTCCTTGGACCACCATCAACAGAATGGTGTACTCCTCGCACCAACACCACGAAAACCCCCACCAGCCCAAGAGTTTCGAGCTACGTATCCTGCCGCAGATTCCACAGTGCTTTATTTTCTCTCTCCCCAAGTTCAACAATTCTCCAAGTCCAGCGCACTCTTGGTACATTGGCACTTCCAACCTCTTAGCCAGTCATCCGTCCTACCTGCTGATATTCCAAGAGCAAACTTTCACCCAGAGGAAAGTAGGCTGAGCTGGCTGGAGCGAGAAAGAGAGAATGATGCGTAAGTGTTTGTCTCGAATTGTGGTGGCTGATGGTTGGAGTTTCTTTTTCTATGTGTTGCATTGTGATGCTTAGTTGGCCCATTCTTTCGTGGCTGCATTGTGTAGGTGAAACTGCCAATGATGAACTCTCTCCATTGTTCATCATGACAATCAGTCCCAAAGTGTAGTCGACCCCTCCTCCTCCTGAATCTTTCATCACGTTCCTTACAGTCTCGGAGTGAAAAATTGGAGGAATTACAAACTTTGAAAGAAAGTCTAGGAACGGTGTGTTTCTATTTTTAAACTAAACTTTTTTTACCCATTACATGTACAACTGCTCAAATTATGTTGACCTCGTTCACTTAAGTATTGTACACTTGATGGGTGAATAATGTAGTGAAACTCGAAAACTATACCGCAAGTATCAGAAGGTTTTCTAACCTGTTTTAGCCAAACAAATTAATGTACCCATTTATGATGGCGACGATGCGTCAGAACCCATCAGTTTGAAAATATTAGTTTGGAATCCCATCGTAGGAGATGGCTCAAACAATAACAATGTGTTCCAAGGTTTAAAGTTGAATTTAACTAAAAATAATAACAATGAGCTGAACTTTCCAGAACAGGAGCTTATAATCCGTTGATAAAGTCTAAGGCAAACAAAAACAGTCGTGTTATCGGAACGAGAATAATAAGAGGATTTGGAGGAATAATAAATTTGCACCTGTTTTAACTACCCGTTTTCTAGGGTTCAAAGCAAGTGGGTTTCTTTGATGAATTAGATCGTGTACGAGAAGAGAAGCCCACCGGTCTACGATTAGTAAAGATTCGTTATTTATTTACGATTGCTGCTGTTGTAGCTCATGTCGTGACAAAGTTGCTTCTTCAATTGGGGTCACTAATGAACCGCTGCTGTGGAGGAAGATGGATTATCTGACTTAGGTTTGGCTTTGTGGGTGGAAGTTAAATGGGTGATAGATTTGGTTTCCTCAAGACGATTTACTTCCATTCTACGCCTGTCGAAGCTCAGGTTGTGCGGGTCTTATAGAACATTAAAAAACAAGATAGGACTCTCCGATGGGTGAGAATGTGTTGTAAGAAGGAAGTAATTTTCTCCAGGTTATCTCACTAGCGAGGTGTGGCGGAACACTGAAGCAGCTAAGCCGGGGAAATTAAGAAGATACGGATTTCTTTCCGGCTAAAAGTTTTGTCAGTGACGGATGGATGGATGAAAATAAAAAATTGGCCGGAGCCGCGTTTAACGTTTTTTTTTTAGATCTGATGTGTTTGACCACCCAAGATTTTGTTGGTTTCGTGTAGTGACCAATGTCATATTTCCTGTAATTGATTGTCTAGTAAATCCATCTAGCATTGTATTTACTGTGTCCAAACATGTATTCAATTTTTAAATAAAATCGTTGACCTAATAATGCGTACATAAATTTTGAAAGACAGTCTTGCGCAGGATGACTCATTGGACATGATTAGGGCCTTTTTGTCTACTTGCAATTTGTCCAAGTTGTATAAGGAGGGTTCAATAATGAAGAGCAGATGTCCAAAAAATTTCGCCAATGACATGAGTAACTCCATGTTGGGGACGTTTATTTATCTCATTTTTCCTCGGTCCATTAAATGCAATAACTTTTCCTAGTGGTAAACACTTGCAGAAAGTTTTTGGAATTGGAGAACGCTTTCGTAGGTTGACTACTGCCTGCTATACCGCAACTGCCAATGTTTAACTTAACAACGTTCCAAAAACTAGAGGTTTATTCTTCAACCTGACCTCGTGGAAATTAGGAACGTCTGTGGAAAAAGAACAGCATGACCAGTCAGAGCTAAATCAATAAAGCTCAAGTTTATGGCTGGCTGTGACTTTTGGAACTTTTTTCAATGATCAATTCCACTAGAAATTAGCCAACTCGTTCGTTCGGTCAGTTGGAGAAAGTTTGGTCTCAGGCCCATTTTCACCAGACCTTTGGATCGCTATAAGAACCAAGTGAAAGAAGGCGACGTGGTAGCTTTCGCCTGGCATGGCATGGCACGTACATTAAAGGAAAGGGAATTGCAAACGAAGATAAAAACCCATCGTCCGAGAAGGCATGCAAGAAGAAGGAGTTGAACCAAACCAACCTTGCTTTTTCTCTCATAACTTCACAAGTGAGAGAGGGAGTCGGCGAAAGTCAGGGTGTGAATGGGGCAAAAGTAAAATTCCCTTAATTAAAAGAACCATAAAAGTGCAAAAACTTTGACTAACACTCACCTTATTTTCCAAGCACATTCCCAGAATCATATTTAGTGTCCACGCAATAATATTCAACTCATATTCTTATATTTAACTGCCAGCATTTATTTTGCACTAACTCAGTTTAACACTAAACTACTCCGACAGTCTCCACCTTCTGTTTATTCCATACGTGCTGCTCCACTTTCGCTTCAGGTTACAAATAAAATTTGCAAATTCTTTCTCTTTGAAGTTAAAAGCTCAACACTTTCACCTTGCTTTGCAAAATTCTGACTTTCTTTGAGCTTTACTTGGTGGTACATTATTCTCTTTAACGTTTAACCTCCTTTGCATGGACTACACATGGTTCCTGTGATATGAGATATGTGTGGCATGTGGAGCTAGAAGGTTATCCGTCATCTGTGTCGAATAAAATTTGACATTCCAAGTGTGAAATGTAAACTTTTCCAAGGCCGTGCACGATATGGATGTTTGAGAAAGTAGACTTCAATCAGCTCGAACAACATGAACATAAATGCGTGAGAAGTGAAAGTAGTGGTAGTCGTATAATATTCATCGAAATATGCTTCGTAATTGTTTGTTCTAAATATTTCTCATTCGTGGAGTGCATATTCCGATATCTTCACTACTATTTGAGAAAAAAAACTATTACCAAATTGCGATCCCAAGTTTGCTGATGTCGTCCACCTTTACATAAATATAATAGCATTCCATCCATACACACCTCATAATTACCCAAGTTAAACATTCTTGATGGATCACAAAGCTAACTTGTCATCGTCAGTTTTTGACAAAGTAATAATAGAGCAGGAAATTTTGACGAGTCGGTTGGGAGTTGTGGGGGCTTGACTAATAATATTGGAAGGTCGTAACTAATACATGAATTACACAAACACATTATTATTAGAGTAACGCACCACCAGCCATATGAACGTACATACTATGCACACACTTCCAAGCCGTCCAGTCCTCCATAACTCTACACCATAATGACCCAGCGTTGTTGTAGGGGAGTAAATTCAGTAAATGCAATAAAAGCCACTGTAACTGCCCAGCTCGGCTTTCTCCTCAGACCTACAGCTCCACACATGCATAATATTATTATCGCATTACAATACATCCATTACTCACGCCACACCGTGTACAAGCCATCTCTTGGAACTGTACTTGACGTAGCAGGAACATAAATAATCCATCGGCTCAAATTTTGTTTTCATGCGAACTGAATGGGATACTTGCACAAGAAAAAGCACATCCAATCGAATTTGTAACTTATAATGTGCCTGTGACGTGTTACGGATCAATTAAGGAATGGCAAGCGGCTGAAAATACCAGCCTTGGTAGATATTCCACTTTCCACTTTCTTGTGCCAAGGTGGGGAGCAGAATGGGCTGGCGATGAAATAGAACATTCAATTTACTTTTCTCATCCATCCACCCACCAACCCCATTCCATCCCACCAATTCAAACACTGACCACCGGACGAAAGCATGTCTTTGTTCTTGTGGGAATTCTGAGGAGTAAATTATAATTTTGTTCAATTGGAACGAGGGGAACCAGCCACACACGAAATCTACTCGACAACGGCTGACTTTCAATTGCGATGATAGTGCACGTAAATATCTATGTTCTCTACGGCTTCATGATTTATTTTCTTCATTCGAGTTATCTTTTTCTCCCAAACTAATAGTTGTACCGTATAGTTTCACTTTAAAGACCGCGTCATTGTCATTGATTTTTGGTGAACTGGAAGTAATTGCTTTTGAAATTAACTTATGAATTTTTAACGTCATACAAGCTCCATTTTTTAATAAAGGAAATTGCTAGTTCTATACCACACTGAACGTTGTGTTGTTACTTTAGTTAAGCTCCGGGAAAATGGGAACATTGAAATACAATAATACACCAGGACATGCATTGGATTAGTTATACTTGGAGAAAGTGCTGTCACCCCAATGAGTGCATCGTGCAATAGAGGTTGGTATAATTTTTAGGTAATGGTTTCCTGGCATTGTACATGCGTATGTGCGTATGTGCATGTAATAATCCTGAATTTCCCCTTGTACGAATTTCTCATTCTTGTACACAGGCAGGGAAAAATGTGGAATAGCGAATGACGAATTAAGTTGTAGAATGGGAAGAGTGCAACAATATAAAACGAATAAACGGTGAGTGCGGAGGTTGAGTTAGGAGACGAGGGTCGGAATGAAGGGTCGGAATGATGAACCTTCGTTGGCCGTCTCCATCGGGACTTTGGATCAACACGTCTCACTCACTCTTCTCCCTGTGTAATTCCCTTCACGAAACTTTATTGCCTGTTTCACTCACTTTATTTCTTAGGAGGAGCCATTATTATCCTATCCCTTATTCTTGGAAATTCCTCCACGACAATAATGCCACTGTCAAACTTGCAATTGGATGTTCTTGCATTTAATCTGTGTCTAAGCTGCTGCATCCCACAAACATGGAACTGCACCCACTCTCTGGAAATGAGGAAAGGGAAATAAGAAGGTGCTCCCACACACACATAAAGCACGGCTCACTCACACGTACATAAGTGTGTATGCATGAGAGAGGGTTGTTCAGATTGCTTAGCTCGAGGAAACTATTTTACACTTTGCTTCACAATAAAGTTTTTCATTTGGTCTCAAAGACATTAAGGTAAGTTGAGTACCTGAATAGAAATGATGAAAATTTCCCAAGCTCAAGTTTGTCTTTGGAGTTGTTGAGCAAGATGTGATGCTAATGGGTGTGGATTCCGCAGCTTTCTCCGTTTTCGCCCTCCCTCCTCCTTCCTTCGCTCCCTGCTAAGGATGAGGACGATGAGTCAAGTGTGGCACCAAACTAATATTTCAGCTGTGCCCAAATGACGCTACTTAAGCAACTCTTCTTCCTCCCGTAGTCGTCGTTGGATTTGGGATGGGTTCGATCAGAGCCAAATCTGATGTCCCATTAGCCTCTTCCCCTCATCTCACTATAATTATAATCGATTAAGTCCAAGAGATTTCCAGAAAGGGTCGATCCACTTTTCCAAAGATTGATCCATCACTCTTCCCGTCATCATTTCATTATGTCGACTTATAAAACGACTTTTTAGTCAAATCTCGTCTTGTCATCATCCCTTCGTTTTTACATACACGCACGTCACATTATTATGGATGTGGTGGTAGTGCATCAAAACGCTTTCACATTATACACAGGTCATCATCATCATTACGGTCTCTTAGCATTTCAAAAGTGCAGTTAAAGTAATGGTCGTTCTTGTCAGCAATTTAGGGTAGCATGATTATTTATGACTCGTATAAGTATCCATCCACAAAGAACACACATTATTATATGTAAATACTAGTAGCATCTATATATGTACATATACTGACATAGTCGTACGTTGGTCGCTCACCTTGGCAAAATATGTGTGTATAATAATGTTCATTATTATACACACATATTTTGCATGCGTTTGGTTTGTTTCAAAACAAACCAAACGCATGCACCAGCAACACGAGGAGGAGAGTTCTCAAATTTCCTAAAAATGTAGGTTAAGAGTTAATTTAAATCAGGTAGAATTACTTACAATTTTGTTGTACATATGTTACTCTAACGGTTTACCGATGCTGTGCTATTATATGCAGTCACTGTAATGACCAAGCTAAATTATTAACTTTAATGAGAGAAAACTAGATTTGTCTCAGAATCGGATTTTAATCTTGTTAAAAAGCTCATTATCTTCATGGATGGGAGGCCTCTCCAGTCACTTAAGATCAGATAAGAAAATGCAAACTTATTAGAGTGGAACAGATGTAACTGTGGGCTTGTTCCGACATGAATCTGGGTTGTGTAGCAGGAATGATACACAAGTCCGGCCGGGTAGTAAACCAATAATGTTGAGTGGCATGGTATGACACCTTCTTTCTCTATAGGTTGCCTTGTTTTACGACCATTTGCATGGTTTTGCATACTCTTCTCCCACTTACTTGGCAAGATAACGGAAGGAAGGAAGCAGTCGAAGTCACGGTATTTGAGAATTTTGGACATGTTCCATTTCGCCATTCGTAAGCCAAAACAGGAAGGAGAAAGGTTGCTGTAGATTCGTTTTCTCCTTTGAGCGGAAGATTTTCCCTAATAATAATGCCTCTCCTACATGGATGCCACAGGAACGACGACGCTTTTCGTTGCTGTTTCTCAGAGAGATTACTTTACTCCAACCAACCCAGCCAGAAACCAAGTGTTAGTGTGAGCTCGTCCATTATGCATCTAATTTACGTTATGACTCGGAACTGAACCCGGTTTAGCGTAGGCTCAACTTTATTACTTTTAATAGCTTTATAAGCGTTCGTATTTACACCGAGTCAGCAAATTCCGGTGATTGCAGTAAGTAAGCAAGCATACGTTTTCCAAGAAATCTTGATTTCCTTTCAATACAACTACAAGATAACATCCGTGGCGGAGAAAGCTGGAGTCCTTGCTCGCAATTAACAGTAAAAGTTTGGAAGCCAAGTGCAATTTTATAAAGCCATAACCATTTAAGCTATTGAACTCACTTGGCCCAATCCCTTAATGCGATGATGGTATGAAAGGTTCAATTTCTTGAGAGAGAGAGAGAAGTTTTCTTTACAGGAGGTCGAGCGGGCCGGATGACTTTAGGGTACAGCCTGCATTTTATGCGGATAAATTTTCCCTTCCTTCTCGGCCTTACACATATACGTGTATATACCAATATATTTTATATGACGTGAGTTTGGCTCCACGAGAGGCAACGAGCAATAAAAATAATAACAGTAGTGAATGACAGAATTCAAGTATAATTTCATCGTTGAAACCGACTAAAGGCTGGAAAACCTTATTATAAATGGATAAATTTCGGAATGACCAAATAACTTTTTTCTCCCGTTCTGCCCTGACACTGAGTGCTGGGCTGATGGGTTTAATACAGAGAGAAAAGTTGATGAATAAAACAAAGATGCGTCGTAAATCTTTGCGCTTGTTGTGAGCGTAATGGAAGAAATGGTCTTTGTTTGAGGAATCGTTATAACAAAAGTACTTTGAAAATTGAATCGAGCCGCTGCGGTTTTACATTTGTCTGCCAGAGGAGAATTGCACTGGAGGAACAACTCCAATCTAGAATCCGCGGCAACATAATTTTTAATTAATTTTGTGAGCTTGAAGTTTGAATCGTTAGTAAATGACGAGGACTGGTGCAGTTGTAGAATGATGAGTTATGTTATGATCACTGGCACCTGAACCATTCGCTCAATATCTCTGATAAAATGACCCCAACTTCCTTTCTCCGGCATTCATTAGAGATTATCTGGGAGGAGACCTGTAGTAGTCAGCACAAAATGTGAGACTGAAATACACCCAACAGGACTAGAGCCGCATCGTGATATGGAACACCGGATGGACGGATAGACTCTGCTTTTGCCTCTGAGGAGGGGAGCTTGCGAGGTTGATAATAACAGATCCTGATGCCCTTTGGATATGTGGTAGGGTCCTATGAGTGTACTAAAACCCTGAAGTGGTTTGACTCCATGGCCACATTTGCGCCCGACACACCCACTCAAAAATGCTCAAAAACCGCTTTCACTCCGGTTTTCACTCACTCAAATCCACGCCAAAAATCCAATTTTGCTCGGATTTTGAAATTTCTTTCACCATTACACTCCCAGATAGTTGCTTTCTTCAATTCGATATCAAACTCAATATTTTCGAAATTATTAGTATTTTTAAAATTTTAAATTCTGAATGAGCATTGTTGTAATCCACAACGCAAATTATGCCTGCGAAATAATCATCATCAAAATTGAGTTTGACATTGGATTGAAGAAAGCAACTATCTGGGAGTGTAATGGTGAAAGAAATTTCAAAATCCGAGTAAAATTGGATTTTTGGCGTGGATTTGAATGAGTGAAACCTGGAGTGAAAGCGTTTTTTGGGCATTTTTGAGTGGGTGTGTCGGGCGCAAATGTGGCCATGGAGTCAAACCACTTCAGGGTTTTAGTACACTCATAGGACCCTACCACATATCCAAAGGGCATCAGGATCTGTTATTATCAACCTCGCAAGCTCCCCTCCTGAGTTTATACATTTAAACCAAATTACAACGAGTTTGAAATACACGGGGAAGGGTTCTGGTTCAATTCATGAATGCTTTCAAAACGGGAAACGTAGGCGGACAAAGTTGCTGTTTTAATAAATCTCCCAAAAGTACAGGAGGGAGAAAGAGAAAGGGAAAATTATTTATTGAGATCATACGCATCGAGCAGTGAAATGGCTTCGAAGAACAAAAAGCCCCTTTTCCACCAACCTTTTGGATTAATGAGATAGTCATCGTGTCTAAGGTTCAGCATGCACTTTCCTGCTGTAAGTATAGCTAAATATATTTATGTGCCAACTAAATTCACCTTGCACAAATACGGGTGAGCTGGTCAAGTGCAACTGATTCGATTGATTTCGTCTGGTTTCGAGGGGAAAGGAACAAATTTTCTTCGTTACGAAGTAAACTGCTTTTGCACTATTCAAACGCGCATAAGTAATCCAAAGTGCTTAATTTACAGTAATTTTCGATGTATTGTAATTACTCAATAATTTTACCCAATTAAAAGTTGTGTGTGGGTCAGCTTATTATTATTTTCTTGTATAACAACCTCATATTATAGTCTCGTATCATTAATTTCCACAGAAAATTGTGCAATACGTACGAAGTGGAGTGAAAAGGGATGCGGCGTGTTGGTCGGACCGCGGTTCATATGTATTTACAATTTATAATCATTTATGTATCGAGCTATTCAAGCTGGCAGCTATTTACTATTTTGTAATTTATGAAGAGGGATGGAAGAGGCAAGTCTCTTGGGACGACATTATTATTGTAATCATGATCATAATATATTAATACTCTTGGTTTACCCTTGCACATTATGCATATTAGGAGAAGAGGGAGAGAAAGCCGTCATCGCAGACGGTGCCGAGCTCGTTAATTTGCTCTGCTCCACAATTCCCTCCTCTCCTGACACCGTCAACATAGTTAATGTCCATCATTAATAAACTCGGTGTAGCTTATTAATATCACGGTGAAGTAATGTATGACATGGATTGTTAATAATAATAACTTTCTCCCTCTTGTTCACTTTGTGATAGATTTGTGCTCCACACCGCTGTCCAAGGATATCCCTGACGCCGCATTGTCAGCCAGCTCGTATTATGTGAACCTAGTCGGACCGCACCAAGCCAGGTACGTTGTTTGCATATTCTTAAAAAATTTCTTCTCCGTATTGCTTTCTCTCAGGCAGGTATGCAACCCCAAAATTATTTCAAAGTGATTTTTGCGTGACAAGTTTAGTCCAAATAAAAGCATTTCTTTTATACGGCCCACGGCGGTTTATTACTCTCCCTGAAATTTACCCTCGTTTTCACTATCGCTTAGGTTTACTTGTCTAAAATTGTTGCAACCGGGCCAGCGCAGACAATGAAACCGAATTTGTATATGCATAAATGATATCCTCAACGGAGGAAAAAGCTTGCCGTGTGAGTCCAGAGAATTTTATGACAAAGTCGTAAAGTTTTCAGACGACGATCCATATTTCCATATGACATTTCTTACTTTTGCTCACATCTACTACCCGACGGCGTTCCCCTTTAGAGCTGAAATTTCTACTCTTGGTGGAGTGGTTTTGTGTGGGGCTGATACATACCATGCATATGAACCAGACGTAGTGTAGTAAAACTTTGTTCCTACTTATCGTATTTATTCTCAGAAACATGCATCTACTTACATTACCCAAGATTATATCTGCTTTACGCTACCTTATTTCTATTTGTGAGAGATGTTTCCTGTGGTCTAAAACCGCGACATAAGCAACTCCTCCAGGAATAATCCCCTTTCACTTACCACCAACACTACGCCGCAACACTTTCTCCACACGGCTCTCACCCACAGTCTCCGGTTTAATAAAGATATTTCTGTGAGATATCTGCCCATGTGTGGGGCTTGACGTGGTGATTGTCGTGCGACGGTGGATGAGAAATTCACTCGGCGTGGAGTGGATAAGCTTTCTCCAGCAAACAAGTACCACTGAATATTGACTGTCATATAATAAGCATAGAGATTTTCTTGTCGAGCCACGGTCAGAATATGAACTCTTGCTTTTTACAACACGGGCGTACAGCACTAATAGAACTTTTATTGGCTTAGGTGGGTCCTCTGATACTGTGCACCCAAATTCACTCGGACGTATATTGTGCATAGCACTTGAGTAAACATAAAAAGTTGCGAGTGAAAGTCTTCATGTTGAAAAAATGTGTTGATCTGTCTGGCAAACCTGTGTAAGAGGAGAGTCGACATATACGTATTGCTGTCCTGACCACCTATATGGCATAATACCAAATTATTCTACAACCGCGACCAGACCATGGAGGTAGTCACTCGAGCTGGTAAAAGTTCTGAGAGGTTGTCGATTTTATCTTGAGGAAGAAACTGAGAGTGTTTGACATTCGGAGTGAATTGGCCTCAAGAAAGGTAGCTTACGTAAGTGCAGCAGCCGGAGTGGGGAAAGCAGTGGGGACAGAGAAGAGGAGATTGTGCCTACTCGCACAATACGTGTCATGATCCCGCCATAAAATTCTTTTTCTAATGCCATAATTTTCTTTCGTATTTTATGACTTTCACCAACATTCGCTCTCATACTTTGTCAATATCACGAATGGGCGATGAAGAATTTTGTTAGGCGGATGACGAAAGAATTCTGAAGGAAAAATTCTTCAACTTTCTCCAACCCTAGGAGAGTGAGTAATTTGGTGGTGAAGGTTGTAAAACTGCTACCTGGCACTTAATAACCGGTGAACTTTATGTTTACAGTGCATATTTGATTAGAGGTATGCAGTTGTCTAATGTGTGTTATGGGAGTGTGTGATGTATACTGAGCTATGCAGTCGTAGTTATGGTAGGCCAGCTCTGTTGTTGTGCATAAGACTATTAGTACTTTTAGTGCAGGAAGAAATATGCGAGCATAGTGCTAGTTTTTGAGGTGAGCAATAACGGGAAGAAAATATATGAGTGGGTGGGTCCCGTGGAAAGCACATACACACTTTAATAATAATTATCTGATTATACGCTCTATCACAAATCTTTCCAACATACTTCTTGGCACCCCGCTAACTTTCTTTGCTAGGATGAAAATGGCAGGAAATCGTAGGGTTGAGTCCAAGCTCGGTTTCATTCACTACAAACTCCAGCCAGCCAGCCATCCATCCATCCACCATCATTATAACATTACAAGTCGTGCTACAACTTTGACATGAATTGGAAAAAGGAAAGTAGGAATGTCTTGAGTAACAGAGCCGTAAATATTATGTGAATAACAGAGTCAACTGATTTTACTACCTTTCTTTCATACTTTTCTAGACTTATGAACTACACTTGGCATATCGCGTTTATAGACTCATACCAAGCATTGAGGTTGACAGGAAACACCTACACACACAAGCAAGAGTGGGTTTTGGTGTAAGTAATGCAGTGTAATGTGCTTATTACTTTTGACGAATTGAGGAAGAGCTTTACAACTCAAAGTCGAGCAACGGAACAAACGATGGAGCATAAAATCCAGACTGCTTGCACATCAACCATCGCTCACCACCAACCACAACAGACTCTTCAACGACTTTCACCCTTCAAAAAAAATATTTAGCAAAACCAGGCTTAAAATGTGTGCACGTATGAATGTACATAGTGCTGGAGATGTAAGGACTACTTGTGTGTGTGGTGAGGGTGAAATGTGAAATGAGGTTGTGGTTGAACGAGATAACTCACCCAGATATTTTGGCATGTCGATGCCACTGTGAGTTCGCAGGGTGGATGGAGAATGAAATTCTTGACTTTGTTTGAACTCTGAATTTGAAATGAGCTTAGTGCTGGCTTAAAAAGTTAATAATAAGCGAATATTTGTACAAGGAAGGAAGGAAGGCAGGGTTCGTGGGTGAGGTGTGTAGCGAGGAAAAATTAATAGGTCTTCTCAGGTGGTGGCAGGAGACGGGAGAGGAAATGAGTTATGAGAGCTACTTTTCGCATAATTTCCGAGGAAAGATTTCCTATCAAAGCAGAGAACCGAATTTGAAATGAGTTCTTCAACCGCAACACGCAATATCCGATATCTAAATTCAACAAAGTGAACTCGACCAACGATGATGACGACGATGATGATGATCGTATCTCACCAGGCAGCTAGGCGGAAAGTTAGCAAAGTTGAGGGCTCTGTAAGGTCGATGTCTCTGTTTGCACAAGTCCAATTCAACTGCTAATAATCCCATTTTGAGCATTTCTGTCACCCAACCATGTAAGAATCCCATCGTCTTAATCGAGACTTCTAACATGAGCTTGCAACCACCGTGCATTACACGAGCACTTCCCCAACTCGATATGAGAAATTCCAACAAACTTTATTAATAAATGCTTTACAAAGTAGCACAAAATCATGACATACCTTCAACGAACCCAGACACACAAACCAAGACAATTATTTTTGGAACTGACGACAAAAGTGACGTCTAACGTCCACTTTCAACTCATGAAGCAGAAAATATTACATACGACATTATTTACTTAATAGAGACGTAATTTAAACCTCTTCCCAATATCTCAATTCATGAACTTTGTGCATGCATGCAAACTCATTTAGGTACAGACCGCCTCCAAGACCGTTGCTGCCGAGTATTTATTTTTGATGGCCTGGCATTTTGGTGGCGAGCTTAGCCTTTTGCTGTGGGATTCGTAGTAACCTGGTTTCTTATCGTGAAAACTCAGCAAGTGTGCAGATAAGTCTGCAAAGCCAGATGGAATCAAAATATGTTTTGGATCTGACTCCGGAGAGGATATAAGGACTGACTGGAGATTAAACACGTCCTCCTCAATTCAAATGCCTGGTGAACTTTCACATGACCCAAATTTCATCCCAAACTCATGTGAGCACGATGAGTTTAGGCAAAATTTATAAGTAAAATCTCATGTAGCCCTAACACATATGTAGTTGATACATACGTATCTTTAGTTAGATGTGGGCACAAAGTTTCATGCGTGAACGAAAATTGAAATACAATTAAATTACAATCAGACAGGTGGATTTATCTGGTTTCTGAAATTCGGTGTGTAATATCCGTTTGTGAAATTGCTTTACATGTTGCTCAAAATATTTGTGATCCCAGAGATAACGTATTTATGCAACGCTATGAGAATCTTTCATCTGTGGATTCGTTTGATGGTAAATATTGGAATTGCTAAAATGTTTCCTTTGTTTACCCAATATGCACATAATGGTATGACATGCATGGAATGCGACGATGTAATCCGATAACAGAGATATGTGGAATACAAATTAATTTTAATAATTGGTATCAGAATGGAATGGTGCATCTATATACATATGCCATTAATTTGAATCATCCAAAACAGTGGGTAAGAAATTATGTATAGTATTTCCTACGTTCAAACTTATGTAGCTCATTAAAATACAATAACTTTTGGAGTGAAACGTGTAATACTCACCTCATTTTATACATACATTTGGATGGGTAATAGCGAAAAGCAATAAGCTCTGGTTGATGGAAGTGTATTACGTGGATTGAAATACAATCAAAATCGGTGAACTGAGAACTTAATAACTCAACCCTTTCTATTCAGTGTCCTCACTCACCCAGCAGTCGCAAGGATAATGACACATGTCAGATCTACTAGTTGATGTTGGAAAAGAGCAGTCGGGTTCATACAGAGAAATCAAATGAGCCTTCGACTGGGTGAATGGAATGCTGAGAGAATGACAAAAACTTGTGTGTTGTACCCTGCAGTGCTTTTACAGTAGTTGGCCCCCCTTTCAAATTACCCATTGCACATCCACCAGACAAGAAGGAGCACTCTTTCCTTTGCGCCATCCCTGGAAAGCAAAATGCGATGGCACGGTGTACAGTACGCACTGTGGTTTGAAGCAGTTTCTCATTTGCGGAGAGAGTTCAACTCTCTCTGTGGAAATATTTCGTCGATGAAAGATGCGATGGCAGAGATTTCATTTCATCACAACATACCAAAGCATCCAAACAGAGAAAGCTGCCGCGTTCCTCCAGTCTTGCAGCCATTTATTATAAGCCTCCACCAGAATTGAATATCTATGGCGAACTACCGAATGCCAACAGATGTGGGGTTCCCCCTGCTCTTTTCTCCTCCTCACTTTTGTAGGATCAAGTAATACA